AATCCTGTCTCAAAAAAAAAAAAAAAAAAAAAACCAACAAAAAACAAAAACAAAAACTGGGCATGGTAATTCCAGCACTGGAGAGGCTAAGGCAGGAGAATCACTATGAGTTCAAGGCTAGCCAGGACTACATAGTTCCAGACCAGCCTGAACTACATAGAGAGATCCTGTCTCAAAACAAACACCAAAAAACAAACAAAACTAGGGAACTATCATTGGGCATGGTGGTATACCCTCAATCCTAGCACTCAAAGTCTGACGCAGGAAAACTGCCATGAATTCAAGGCCTGCATGAGCTCCACAATGAGTTCAAGACCATCCTGAACTACATAGTGAGACCAGAAACAAACAAAAAACATAAAATAAACTAGGAGACTGTCATGAGCCTGTAATCGTAGCAATATGGGAGGCTAAGGCATGAGGATCAGGAGTTTAAGTTGTCCCTGAACAATACAACAAGACCCGAGCTCAAAAAATTAAGTACATAGGGCTGGGGTTTTAGCTCAGTGGTTCAGCTGCCTGCCTCGCAAGTGCAAGGTCCTAAATTGGATTCCAGTCAGAAAAAAATTAAGCAAATAAACTAAAAGGAGAACATAGAAGCTTCTAAGTTTATATAATTATTAACAGTGTTTTCTTTCTTAGTAGCACGCTAAAAATGATGTATCCTGGACATAATGGTGTCTTTGATTTGGTGAAATGCTGCTGGTAAGTATCCCAGACTCCAGACTTTAAGTATGAAATACTTGAGACCATGTTGGAAGACACTAGCAGCATGTGTTGACTTCCATGTGTTATATATGTAGTTATGCGTTTTCATAACTATACCTAAAAGTGCAAAATAGCTGGGCACGGTGGTGCATTTCTCTAATTCCAGCATTTAGGAGGCAGACGCAGGAGGATCACAATGAGTTAGTGACAATCCTCAACTACTTATGAACTACAGATGGCGCCCCAGATCTAGCTCTGCAAGACCTGCCCCCTCTAGGTCTGGCTGGTCAGTGCTGTTGTTCTAGGACTGGAAAGCAGTGATCCTGCCTAGCTCTTCCCCTAGTTGTTCCTCAGGCACACCGTACCCCACTGGAGCTCGTCCTGCCTTCCACCTCTCCCTACATGTGCAGCTGTGCTCCAGATGACTGGCTCCCTGAGTGATCACTGTATCCCTGCTTAGAGGGAAGAGAGCAACCCACCCACACCAGAGTGCAGAGGCGAAGGTCCCTCCCACCTACACCCACGCTCGTCCCTCCTTACCTTCTGCACTCACGCCGTCCACGAAGTCCTCGGGGTAGCTTAAGTAGGGCTCAGCGGCCTTGCCTTTCTCGGCTGCGCTGCCCTCAGCCAGGCCGCCCCCTTGGCACACTGTTGGCTGGCCTGCTCGCCTGGGGGCTCGGCCTCTGCCTGTGGTGCTCACCCCTCTGTAGGCAGCGGCGGAGGACTGCACTGGGGCCCCGGGATGCCTCCACTGCCAGCTCAGCCCTCACCTCGGGCTTGGACTAAGCTGCTCTTCCAGCGGCCAGTTGTGCTGCCAGGGCTCTGCACGCTCCTCGGCAGCCTCTGCACCGCCAAGTTCACCAAGTCCTACACTGACACGCACAAATCTTCGTCCACTCCACCGCATGCCTGGGACTCCCAGGCTGCTCCGCGCTGGACCAGCTCTTCGCTGGGGTGGGGGTGGGGCCGGAAGGGGCAGTACCAACTGCATGAGGGGAATCCAAACCCTACTCCTGCAAAACTCCTGGAGGGAATCTGATGCACAGAAGCGTGTCTGCTACTAATCTCATGGGGTTTTACATGAGAAGAGAGTCCTCAGTTCCTATCAGAAACTTTCTCTGGGAACCCACTAAACTCTCCGGGAACTACGAGTACCCTAATTATGAAAGTGGATGATTATGTCCAAAAGGACAGCCTCTGCTTTCCTACTCCCCACTGGCAATTTGAGGATACCCGGACTGTCGGAAGGACCATCCAATTCCAGAATTCATTTCAAAATGTGGAATTGCATGAAAATATGATGTAACTTAAAACTCATATCATGCAGAATGTCTGAAGTGATGGAGAGTATTTTGAGGGGGATTTAATGGCTATGCGCCTTTTACTGTAAATTTTTAAAAATTTAAATATTTACAAATAAAAATAAAATAAAATAAAACATGCAGGGGGCAGGGATTTAGCTCAATGGCATTGCACCTGCCTCACAAGCACAAGGTCGTGAGTTCAATCCTTGGTACCAAAAAATGAAAAATAAAATAAAATAAATAAGTAAAACTTACACCATGGAAAATTGAAAATTCAACAAATTTCTGCTTGGGCTATCTTTACCTATAGCTAGACGACTTGTTTAGCTTACTCTTAAAGACCTTCCTTTAAGTGTCTGGGTTTTAGTTAGACTCGTTCACTGATGGGGCAAAAGAATGGATGATCCCAAACTACATGAAGAATTTGAGGTGAAGCACGGCTGGCTGATGTGACGACAAAGACTACTCACTGCAATACAAAAATGTATGGCTTCCTTCACCTACAACATCCGCACCCACAGAGGGTGCCGTCCCTGTGCTGACCCTCACTATGGTTCAATCCAGCAGCTCAGCTGGAACAGTCACGCGGGTGGGCGGGATGAAAGTGGTCACGTGGATGGGCACGGTGAGGTCGGTCACGTGGACTGGGGCAAGAGCGGGCAGTGACGATGTGGGTTATCAGGGAGCGACCCAGACTCCGCTGGACTCTGCAAGCCTCCAGACGTGCCTTTGTGTGTTTTCTTCTCAACCCCTGTGCCACCTATAGCGGGACTTGAATCCAGCGCCTTCACACTGAGCTACATTCTGAGCCGCTGCCCCTTTCTAAAAAATTTTTTTTTTAAATTTTGAGACAGGGTCTCACTAAGTGGCTATTTCTCATCCTGGACTCGACCTTGGGGTTCTCCTGCCTTCTCCCTTTGAGTGCGGGGATAACAGGCATGCCCCACTCCCACCCCGTGCCTGATACCTTGTGTTTTGCTGGGCTCCAGCGCTACTGCTGCTTGTGGGATGTTTAATCCTTATGAAGCTTGTATTGGTGGGGGAAGTTAGTGCACAGGAGGGGAGCAGAGTTTCTGCCTGGGGAGATGCAGAGCTCTGGAGGTGGCTTGCGGGATAGTGAATGTCCCTCGTGGCTCCGCGCACTTAAAAGTGATTAAGATGGGGCTGGGAGTAGCTTGGATACCGGCAGCTGGTAAAGAACATGTGGTTGACAAAGCTGAGACCTTGAGATTCATCTCCAGCCCCAGAAAATGTAAACGACTACTGAGAAATACGGAGCGGATTTCATTCATGAGATCCGTAGGTTGCTAGTGTGGGGGAAAGCGACGCTTCCCAATTCTGAGGGCTGGACGGTGCGCAGTGCAGTGGACCTGTAGCGGCTGACTTAGTAGTCCACAGTGCGGCAGCTCTTAGTGGTATAGCAAGATCAGGCCAAGAAGAACGGAGAACGCACCGGGAGGTTGGAAGCAAGTTTATTACGCTGGTGGACTGGTCAGGAGCTTTCTCCACAAAGCGATCAGCACAGAGCAGGCAGTGAAAAGGCTTTATATGGGTTAAGGGAAAGGGGCTGAGGATACAGAAGCAAGGCATTTATCGTCATCAGTTCATTGGTTGAGTTTACATGATTTGATAGAAAAGTACACTGGATGCAGTCACTTCCTGAGAACAAAGGACAATGACAGAGGACATGTGTTAGGTGAGGGAGGGGGAATGAACTGGGGGTGGCTCTTTGTCAGTTAGGTCAGCTAGACACTGGAAAAATCTTTTTGTTTTGGGGGGGTTTTTGTTTTGTTTTGCTCAGAAATCGTTTCCTGGCTCAGACCCACCGCAGGCTGGTGAACAGGAGAAAAGTTAGCCCAGTGCAAAGGACTTCACAGAAAAGCAGAGTGGGGATTTAGCTCAGGGCAAAGTCCCCACTACCAAAAAAAGAAAAGCAGAGTGAATGCACAGGAACCTGGGGAGAGCTCACAGGGAGCAGGAGGCAATGTGGGGGAAAGGTAAGTAGGCCCTGGGAGAGGGTCTGCTGGTGTGTGTCTATGTTTGCTGAGTGTGGAGTCCCTGCTGGCCGGCTTTTCCTGGGCTCATGTAGCCCCTGGAGGCAATGTGTAGCTGGCCAGTTTTTGTTTGTTTGTTTGGTACCAGGGATCAAACTCAGGTCCTTGTGCTTGTGAAGTAGGTGACGGAACCACTGAGCTAAATCCCCGGCCCTAGCTGGCCAGTTCTTAAGGGAAGGTTGGGGCAGTGTCTTCCTGCCTTTGTTTTGTTCAGAGTAGTAAATAGAAAGGAGCAGTGCTTTCAGGCAGCATTTCCTGGACTCCTCTGGAGTTGAGGTCTCTGCCCTCATGAGCTGCCACTCTGGCTTGGAAGTCAGAGTGAGAGCCAGGTGAAGAAGGGAAAGAACTTCAGTAGGACAGTGATGAGGACAGTGGATAACAGACTGTAGCAGGGCTGGTGCAGGCCGCCTTCGTGTGGAGGAGCAGAGGCCTCTAGTAGGAGCAGTCCAGCTGGGACTAAGATGCTGATAAGGAGCCAGCAGCCCCAATGGTGGCTTGGGGGAGAAAGGCACAGGACTGGGGGTGACTTTCTGAATGGGAATGGAAAGTGCAAAGGCTCTGGGTTCTTGCAGGCTTTGGTGAGGTTTGCTCTCAGAACTAGGGAGTAGTAATGTTTTTCTGTGGTATTTGATTTTTTTTTTCACCAAGCATGGATTCCTTCAAAATCAGTAAAAGAAAATTCAAAGCTGGAAAATAAACACAAACCAAGAGGTGGGTATGGTGGCACACACCTATAATCCCATCACATGAGAGGCTGTGGCAGGAGGATTGCTGAGAGTCAGGCCAGCCTGGGCTGCATAGTGAGATCCTGTCTCAAACACTAAGGAGAAGAAAACGTGTTTACAATAGCTGTACAATAGATTTGTGTGTGTGTGTGTGTGTGTGTGTGTGTGGTCTTGACACTAGAACTGAGGGCCTCATCCATGACAAGTACACATTCTTCCACTGAACTGTGCCCTCATGCCAACAATGCTTGTTTTGTTTTATTTTGCAATCAGGTCTCACTCTGTAACTGAAGTTGGCCTGGAACTTGCAGTCCTTCTGCCTCAGCCTTCCTAGTGTTGGGATTACAGGTTTGTGCTATTATGCCTGGATAAGAATGGTAAATTTTATGTTGACTATACTTTACCACAATAGAAAAGAAAAAGATTATTTTAAAAGGCATCTGGGCATGGTGACACATGCCTGTAATCTCAGTACTAGGGAAAGATGAGGCAGGAGGGTTTCAAGTTCAGTCCCTGCCTGGGCAACACAGTGACTTAGCGAGACTCTGTCTCAAAATTAAAAAATGAAAAGGGCTGGAGATGGAGCTCAATGCTGAGGACGTAGGCTCAATCTCTAGTGCTGCAATATAAATAAATAGCTACCGTTTCAGGTGCATAATCCCTTGCACACTCGCTGGGTATGGGTGAACAGGACACTAGTCTGACTGGGCCATAGGTGACGCATGCAGACTGGAGTGAGCTGTGGCAGAGCCTGGGAGGGACATCGGAACTGTGGCATGAACCTAGGGAGGCGAAGCAACAGCCGAACTGCAGGTGGCGATCTTGGGCCGCCTTTCAACCCCGGTCGTTTTTAACTCGATGCGGAACGACGGAAGCCCAGGGGCGACACCTAGCGCAGGAGTCTCGGTAATTTCTTGAAGGTGTTTTACATGAGCGATTGCCTCTGAGTGTGCAGAGCAGTTAGAAGAGCAAAGAGAACCGCTGAATCCTCAAGGTCCGAGAGGACTCTTGCGAAACCCTCCCTTCCTGTGTAACCAACAGCCCCACCATCTCCGGGCAAAGCACTCGCTCCCCGCTGCTGTTCACAACTTCAGCCGCAGGGGTGCAGCATGGGCATGAGTCCCTCCTCACTCCAATCCTGGCTTCTTCCTCCACACCAGAGGTCTGGGCGAGTTACTCAATACCGTGATAGGGTGACATGAGATGGGGAGATCCCTGGGGCTGGGACCATTTTTGCCTGGGTCCTGGCTGTTTCCGATCACTAAGCCTTTGGGCTGAGGGTTGGATCCCTCCTTCCCCACCACTGCTGCACTCCAGCAAACCAGCAGCTTAGCTTTCACAAATCCCTGGTCCCTTCCACCACACTCGGCCTCCTCTGCTCCCCCCCCCCCGCCGCAATGGTGATCCTCCTGCCTCAGCCTTTGAATGCTAGGATTGCAGGTGTGTGCAAGCCACCACGCCCCGCCTGACGAAGTCTTTTGAGCATCTTTATTACTTTGATTTTTATTTTTTGAGCATCCTTTCACATGAAGAGTAGTATACACGTAACCATTCACCTACATGCAGTGTTTGTTTATTTGTCTTCTTTTTGCTTTATTTAGTGCTGGGGATTGAACCCAGGGCCCTGCACATGATAAATATGCACTCTAAACACTGAGCTATACTCCCAGCCTCAGTCTTCATTGAGTCAACATTGCACAACATTTGCTTGAGGTTTTCCTTCCAAGAAAAAAACAATGAGAAGCCCCCTTTATAGCTCTCTAAGTTCCATCTCTTTCCCTCCCCAGAGAAACCCTCAGGTATACATAGATGATATACTCGTTGTTTTTTTTGTTTTTGCCTTTTGTTGTTGTTGTTCTCATTAAATGGTATTTTTAATTGAAAAAAAATTTTTTTTGTTTTTTTGAGACAAGATCTCACTATGTAATTCAGACTAGGCTTTGATCTCACTAGCTTTGAACTTGTAGCAATCCTCCTGCCTTGGCATCCCAAGTGCTGGGCTTATGGGCACATACCACCATTTCTGGCTCCGTCTGCCTGCCTGCCTTGCTTCCTTCCTTCCTTCCTTCCTTCCTTCCTTCCTTCCTTGTGGTACTGGCAGTTGAAACCAGGGCCTTTACACTGAGTTTCATCCCCAGCTCTTTTTAAAAAATTGTTTTTATATATGGGACAGATGTGTAAATACTGAGTAGTTTCTCTGGTGTGAGAAACTGAAAGTGTAAATAAGGATCAAAAGGTATAATAGATAATGTCAAATAGAAAGAAAAGGTCCAAAGAGAAAGGGGAGGTGAGAGGGGTTGGGGAAAGGAAAGAAGGGAATGGAATTAATATGAGAAAAGGAAAAAATGGAAGCAAAATCTTTGTAAATAGAAGTGGAGGGGTTGAAGGGAGGGCAGGGAGATGGGGGACAAAATAAGAATCAAGATGCATTATGTAAAGGTACAAATTTCCAATGATGAATGACATATTGTATACCTAAAATGTACCAATGAAATTAATTTTTAAAAAGTAAATAAATAAATTGTTTTTAGAGCCAGGGATGTAGCTCAGTGGTGCCATGCCTGCCTGGCAAGCACAAAGTTCTGAGTTTGATCCCCTCCTCAGTACAAAAAAATGTTTTTATTTTAAAACAGGGTCTTGCTAAATCACTGTTTAGGCTGAACTGGGCTCAAACTTGAAATCTTCCTGCATCAGCTTCCCAGAGTGCTGGGAGTACAACCATATACCACTAGAACTGTGTGTTATGGCTTTAAATGTTCACAGTTGCTATACATGGCCTTCTGTGATTTTCTTTACCACACAAAATGATATTTTCAAGATTTATGTATCCTGGTACATGCTGTTCTAGTTTATACATTATATGAATAAAGCACAATTTATTATTCAGTTCACGCTGTCATAAGGAATAGATTGTTTTGGTTTTTTGATGTTATAAATAATAGTACAGTGAAAAGTCTTGTATTTGTCTCTGAGAGCTATGCTTTAGAGAATATAACTAGAATATAACTAAAAATTTCTGGGTCATAAAATATCTGCATCCCAATTTATTAGCTGTTCACAAATCGTTCTCCAAAGTCTCTGTACTAATTTACACTGCCCGCAGTGCTGCAGGAATATTCCTATTGCACCTTATCTTTTCTGTGCTGAAGGGCAGCTCATGGTTGTTTGAATTTGCATTTCTCTGACATAAGTAGATGTCTGATTTAAGCAGAAAAGGAAATGACTACACGCACATAAAATCTGTAGCAGAGCTAGAAACCCAGCCTTGAAGGTATGCACCTCAAACCTCAGAGCGTGATGACGACACGGTCCCTGCTCAGGGCCAGGAGTTCTCTGTCCCTTAGGTCAGTGCATGCGCGGAGGACAAGTGCCGGGCGGGCAATTTGCTGTTGCCCCTTCCCACTGGAAGAGATGCTTCCTCTTCCTCAAAGGACCAGGCTTCCTCAAATGCAGATTCAGCAGCCAAATGGCCACAGAGTAATGACAAACCTTCTGGATTCAGTACTGGGAATCGAACTCAGGGCCTTCACAAGGTGCTATATCCTCAGCCCTATTGAATTTTCTGAGATGGGATTTTGCTAAGTCATTGAGCAAGACCCAGTCTGAAAATTAAAATTAAGAAGGGGTGAGAGGGTGTAGCTTTTTGGGAAGGCCCTGGATTCAATCCCTAGCAACCCCTATCTCTCTCTAATATATACGATAATAGAGAATATTAGATATTATTTTTAGATAATTATTAGACAATATATATTATCCTATATATGTATATATATGTATATATGT